TGATGATGATGATGATGATAATGATGATGATGATGATGATGATGATGATGATGATGATGATGAAGATGATGATGATGATGATGATGATGATGATGATGATGATGATGATGATGATGAGGGTAGTGGTGATGATGGTTTGAATAATTGAATGAATAGTGATTGTAATAAGTTAGCGAATGGTAATGAGGAGGTTGATGGTGTTATGATGCTGATGGTGTGTAACTCATTGAGTGAATGAGCGTGCGAAGGGAGAAAGCTCATGAGATCTGTGTCGACTCATTGAGTGAATGATAGAAGACGATGACGATGATGCCGGCGATGATGTGTGCGTGTGTGAGTGAGTGGTAGGTGGTGAATGTGTGCGTTTGATTCATGGAGTGATGATCCTGAGTGAACGTGAGTGTGTGAGCGAGTGAGAGAATTGTAAGTGATGATGCGATGGTGGTGATGATGATGATGATGATGATGATGATGATGATTATGATGATGTGAGTCGTGCGTGGGTGTGTGAGTGAGTATGTGGTGAGTGAGTGAGTGGGTGAGAAAAGGAGGGGGTGTTCCTGTTAGTGTGTTCCTGCGCGGGGTGTCCACAGAAAACAAGAACCCCCTTTGGATGCGGGGAATCATTCGAGCCCCAAGAGACAGGAAAATGTCGAGCAACGATTTTTCAACCAGGCAAATGATAGAATTTCGTCGGGACCCTGTGGCCCACTAGCCTGCTGGTGCTCCAGAGACGGCGATCAACCGTCCGCCAAGTTCTGCCAACCTTCCGCCCAAACAAACTGCCCTCGCCTCAACTCCCCCGGCACCTGCGGCCCCTCCGCCGAGGGCAAGCGGTCGACTCCTCGAGCCGTCCCCAGACATCGGTCGACATGATTTGTTCACTGCGCGGCCCCAGATGCGCCCATCCCTCCGGTGGGGCCACTTCTTCGCACTGGACCACATGTTTCAGGCCGTGGGGCGAGAGACCGGGCCCCAGATGCGAGCAGAGCAGAAGGGGAGAGGCAGAGGGACGAGGGCACGAACGGGGAGGGGAGCAGGTGGACGCGACGAACTGGAGGCGGAGGGAAAACAGGTGAGCAGAGGGAGGAGAGCTGATCCGGGCAGTGGTTTTCCACTGGCCGCGCGCCGCCAGCGGGCCCCCCACTGCCCGCGCGCCCTGGCGCATCAGTCCAAACATGCTGCGGAGGCACGACTGCCAACCCACGCTGTAAGAACGGTTTTTTGAAGGCAGATCTGCCTTCAAAAAACCGTTCTTACAGAGTAGACCATTTTTTAAACATTTTTTGAAGGCAAATCTGCCTTCAAAAAACCGTTCTTACAGAGTAGCCCCAAACGTCTGCAGAGCGCGCACGACACGCCCCGTGCCGGCTGCTCAGTGCCCCGCGGGAGCCGCGCCGCCGGCGGGCCCGCTGACCAGGGCCCCTCGCCTGGCGCCAGCAGGGGCCTCGGACGCCCGTCCGGACGCCTGCGCAGCGGCACCTCGGCATGAGCGTTCTGTCCCCAAGCAGTCGAGTACAGGTGACTGGGGAACCCCTCATACACCGATTCTGGCCAGGACCATCCTGAGCCCAGGATCGGTGCATACGCCCTCTTACCTTGGCCAGGAAGGTATATGCACCGATCCTGGGTCAAGGATGGGCGTTGTCAGGGTCGGTGCATGTGCATGGTTCTCTTCGCCCGATAATCGGAGCAGCTCGCCTGGCGACGAGGCGGCCCAGGAGACCCGAGCCTCCACGGTCGTCTCGCAGACCCTACCCGTTCGGTCCACCCGCTCGGCTTTCGCAGGGCGCCCGCTTCCTCGGGCGGGGCGCGAGGGTCCAGCTCGCAGTGGCCGTCGGCGGCTGCCTCGCTCGTCAGAAGCTGCGCCGTTTCATCAGTGGTCGCGAGATGCATTTCTGAAGGGGCCCCAGGACACACAAATAAATACACACAAATATAAGTATTCCCCATATTTTCCCATATTTTCTGGGTTTCTGTCTCCCCCCCCCACTTCCCATATTTTCCCATATTTTCTGGGAATCGCCGATTAATTGTGTCTGTGTGTTTTTTCCCCTCCTGAATTTCGCCTGTCTCGATGATCAGGCACACTCCTTGTCCTATGTGTTCGAAAATTTCAATTGCAGGAGCTACGGTGTCGTTCCAAGCGCAGTGTGCGCGCAGACCCTGGCGAACCTCCTCGCCAATCCGACCGCTCCGTCGCATCACTGCCAGAACCCTGCGACCTCGAGGTCCGTATCGCATGTGGCCTCCTTCTCCGCCCCTCCTCTCTCGCCAGGGCTGACGCCACCTGAACATCACGGCTGGCGGTGCCCGTGACACGGCTGCTGCCAACGAAACCAAACCAATTCTCCCTTGGGCGGTGCAAATGATCACGCCCGTGCTGGCCAGTGCCGTCTGATCAACCTCCTTCTGCCCAGTCGCCCTCTCCCCCATGTCCAGCATTGCTTTTGCGGGCTGCCGCGGCGCCCACGTCCACGCAAAAATCGGCGATACTGATTACGCCCAGGTCGGGCGTGTCCCCCTACAGGGGATGCTCGACGAAAAATACAGCATACTCAAAACATTCTCCAAAACAGTTAAGAAATGCTAAACAAAAATAGTCCACATACTATTTTTTGACTACCTTTGAATATTCCCCCTGTAGAGGGACAGGTCCGACTTAATGATAACGCTGTCCGTGTTTTTGCTGGCGCTGGGCATCGATGGGCTGCTGGCAGTTGAACTGCTCGATTCGTTCCAAAAGCTCTTCTTGCAGGGCCTTGCTGGGCACGCTTAATTTGAAATCTGTTCCCCGCAATGCGTGTTGGAAGAGGTTGCCCTTGGATTCTTCCACGTTTCCAGGTCCTGGCCAACACTTCCAGCGCATCGCCTTGTTTCCTAAACCCGTCCTCAAGGAACCGGTCCAGCGGCAGCGCTGGAACCCCTAATTCGTTGCCGGCCACACCCTGCATCTGACCGTCATTGATTTCCGAGGCATCCAAAATATGATCGAAGGATTGCAATCGCTTTTTGCAATCGCTCGTGGGAGTATTTCGCAATCCTTCGTTTTTTTTGCAATCCTTCGTTTTTTGCAATCCTTCGTGGGTTTTTTTTGCAATCCTTCGTTTTTTGCAATCGCTCGTGGGAGTATTTCGCAAACTCGCCGTCCAAAACGATTTGAGCGATCGCCGCCTGCGCCGGGCAGGCGAGGAGAGGCGGACCCTTCTCACCCTAAAAAACGCCTGAATCTGGGAAACCACGTTTTACTATCCCTCCTCCTCCTCCTCCTCCTCCTCCTCCTCCTCCTCCTCCTCCTCCTCCTCCTCCCCCTCCTCCTCCTCCTCCTCCTTCTATTTCTGGTCGAGCGTGTCCGCGGTAACTGTCATCCGACTGCCTCTTTCCGTCCCCTGACCGCGTCGTCGCCTCTGCTTTCTCCGTGGAGCGCGTCTGGCCGCGCCCCTCTGCCAGTTCTGCTCGGACGAATGCGCGAGAGCTTTTCACTGTCGGTGCGGCCCGAACGGCCCAGCCTCTACTGCGCGCTCCGACGGCTCGGTGCCAGAGTGCCTGACATCAGCCAAATATTCCATGTAGTGAGCAGGCTGAGGGATGCGTGCTCATCAACAGGAGAGGGAGAGGGGGGGAGGGGAGGTAGGCATCGCGAGCGGAGGAGAGGGGTGGGGGGAGGGGAAATTGAATCAAGGAGAGAGAACAGGAGAGAAGGTGCAGCTGAAGGTGGAGCAGAAGGGGGGGTGGACAGGTGACGAGAGTCTCGGCAGCGAGATCGGGGAACCAGGAAAAAGGTGCTGACAAAGAGGGAAATCGAATATCAGACACTGGACACTTCAGACGTGAATGTGCGGACGCTGGCGGGCTACTGACAAGAAACACATCCAGAGGCCTCGAGGAACCGTGACCCCAAGAGAAACCTGACAACTGCTTCGTCGTCATGTTGTGTGTGTGTGTGTGCGTGCGTGTGCGTGCGAGCGTCTGCAACGTTGCCCACACAGAGGCAGGAAACACTGCGTCAACGTGTATCTGCCGATGGCTGATGCACCTCGTCCAGAACAGCGCGACCTTCAGTCCTCCAAGAGTGAGACTTCAACACCCCCTCGCACGTTTTGCCCCGGGTCGCCCAAACCCGTGATCCCACCGGCTGTCCGATCACTCCCGAGCCTCGGCGGTGGACAAACCTGCCTTTGGCAAACCTCCCCTTAGTGACAACGACCTGGAACCGAAACCGACGGACCTGGACCCGCAAAAATGACGGCCGCGGCGCCCTCTCGCGAACCGAAAACGGCCAATTCCTGAATCGACGTGTCAGGGTAGGAAGTCTATACACCTCCGAGAGAGCCATGTTCCCTGCGGCCGCCCGGGCACCCCACCCAGATGGAGGGTGTGACCCTCCTGGCCTCGGTGCTCGCAGGTCGTCCGGGGGCCCCTTGCGGCGATGCGGATGGCCAGAAGGCGGCATTCGACGAGGTGGCATCCCTGGAACGAAAACACATGACGTGTTTTTTTAAGCGCATTCCGCCCACGAGGAGTCCCAGTATATATTACTTCATGACGGCGCGCAGAAGGCCCAAGGCTACCCCACGTGGCCTCACGGTGCCCAAAATACCCCCCAAAAATCGCCCCAGATGCCCTCAAGATGCCGCGAAACGGCCCCAGAGATTCAACAATAGCCCTGAAATTAGCCGAAATGACTTCAAGTGGACCCGCAGGACTCCCAAATGCTGCCGATATCGCCCGATGTGGTCAAACAAAAAGCTAACAATGCCCCAAGGCGGATGCTCCCAAGATAACCCAATATTGCCATACATGCCCCCCCCCACACGATGTCCCCAGAAACCCACCCACAGGCATTTCTCTCTATGTTGTTTCTCTCTTTCTCTTTCTCTCTCTCTCTCTCTCTCTTTCTGTTTCTCATTCTCTCTCTCTCTCTCTCTCGCTATCCACCTCTCTCCCTTCCTCCCGGCGCCCCTCTCACGATGCGTGCCCATCTTTTCCCACTGCCCCTCCGGCTTCACCAGAGAGCCGTACTTGCGCTCCAAGGCCCGGCACGCATCCACGCCCTCAAAGACAGCCTCCTGGGGAAGCCGCGAGGGAGCGAAGCGGGGTGGCGCGAGGGGAGCAACATGCGCAACACCCATGCGCCGTTCCAAGCGGGGGCACGGGCAGTGCGACGAGACGCTCGGCGCCATTGAAGAGACGCGCTCGAGCGACCGAGCTGTGCGAGTGCGGGCCGGAGAATGACGAACCAACAACACACACCCATACCCGTAAGGGGGTCGGAGAGGGCTACGGGCGCGTGCTGTCGGAGGGGGGGCCCCGCTCGAACGGGAGCGTTCCCCAGGGTCCGACAACCTGCACCCGTGCCCCTAGCCAGTCCTCCTCCCCACGAACCCCCCTATGGGTACACCCTGCGAAATGCTTAAGAAATCATGGGTTAAGAAATTCACAGTCTCAGAACTTGACAAAAAACCCAAAATTTCTATTAAAATCTTAGGATTTACGTTGAAACATTAAGAATAATCGAGACCCTGGCCGAAAATTTAAGTTTTCTTAAGCATCGCCTAAGGTGTAGGTGTGCGTTGTTCGCTCGTCAGAGAAAGCTCGGGCGCGCCGACTATCGGGGGGGAGCGGGAGGAAGGGGGGGGGCGCGGGCCGTGGCCCGAGGCGCGTGCGCGGAGGCGGGGGGTGTCTTCGTCTTTCCACCATCGGCCCCACTACCATTAAGTCGGGCCTGTCCCCCTACCGGGGGATTGTCGACGAAAAATTTAAAAATATTCCAAAAATAATCAAAACATCATCAAAAAATAGTCTGGGGGCTATTTTTTAAATATCTTTTGACCTTCTTGGGGCATGTTTGGTGTATTTTATATCTTTCGTCGAAAATCCCCATGTAGGGGGACACGACCGACATAACACTGCCGCTTTCATGTGCAGAAGATCAGCTGTGCACTCCAGTTGCAACACATCTGCCCGTCTGGAATGTACCTGCAAGGCGTCGTCCGCGCGCGTTGCAACTACAGCGCGCGTGCAGTGCAGGACATACCACTCCATGCCAAGCGCGCTAACTCGAGGTCTTCGAAAACGTTCCGAGCCGAGGCGCCTGCCTGGCGTCTGCCTCATTTCTTGGAATGTTCCGAGACTGTTTGAAGGCATGCGCTGCAACGAACAGCGGAAGGGCACAGTCACTTTCGCACAGGCCCGTCCGGTATCTCAGTGCCAGCTTTCTTTTTGCTGCCACCATCCCCCTCTCTTCCCTGGACCTCCTTTTTGGGGTCCCCGTGGCGGTGTCCGGGCCGCTCGCCCCGATCGTTTCGTCTCCCAGACCCCGCCGGGCCGCCGAGAGGCACCCCGGGGCCCACGCGGAAGAGAACGAGCGCATGCGACCTTTCCGGAGAAGACTCCGCCCGCCACAAGTGGCGAAGTGGCCCTCCTGGCACACAACTGTACTCGAAGGGGCTCGACGTACACGCGAATTCGCTGGGTCGGCCAAACACTCAAGGAATTTCGGCGAAGGAGTTCGCCGCTGTACCTTCACTCTGGCGTCCTGCAGCGCGGGGAGGCTGAAGCGTGGGTACACCGAGCTCCTAGGCCGACCACACGTCTTGGTGTATGTATACTTCCAACCCTTTCCATGTGCTGTCCTGACTGGCGTCGGACATCGTCAGCCCGGCCTGCCCAGGAGGAGGGAGGAGAAAGGCGGAGAGAGCAAGGGTCTCGTTTGACTCATAATGTGGCTCTCGTCGTCTGCGTCGTCTCCTCCTCCCTTCTCCCTTCTCCCTATGTCCCTCCTCCCTTGGCCGTCCCACGTGGGGCACTGGGCGCGCGCGTGCGCGACGCCACTTCTGGGGCTCGGCTCCTGCCTCGCAGATCCCTGCGAGAAGGCGGGGGCCTGCGGACGGAACAAGAGCCCGGCGTGCCCGTGAGGACTGCCCCCATCAGAGGGGCAGGGCCACTCCGCACCTCGCTCCCCCCCTCCCCTCCCCGCTCCGCCTGCCCGCACTCCCACCTGCCCTGTCTCAAACACTTTTGGACGAGAACCTCCAGGTGATCCTTGCACCCCGTCTGCGTCTGCGCTGCTGCCGTCCTTCAGCTCTTGCACTGGCACTTCTCGACCTTCAATCGAATGTGCCTGGGCAGGGCGCGGGCCATACCGTGACAACGGTGATGCTGCGGGCGGAAATGGTAGATGTGCTCGTGGTAGTGATTCAACGATCTATGGCAGCGATCCTGGCTCGACCCAATCCGATGAAAGGGCGAACAGCACGAGGGTCTCGACGCGATTGAATGCAAGCAGAAACACTGATAACAACTAGTTCACGTCCAACTCAAGCTCTCAGTCCAGAACAGAACACCACGAAACAACATTCCAGAAGTGGCTGCGGAGTGCGGCCAGACCCCTGGATCGGGCTCCCGTGGGCTTCCATGGCCCCGCTTCTCGCACGACGCCCCGAGAGGCCCAGGAACCATTCTCTCGACTCTTCGGCCCTGAGGGCGTCCAAGACGCCCTGAGAGGCACCGAAGAAGCTCCAGGACGACCCCACGAAGGGCCCCAGAATGGGGAAGCACTCCACGAACATTGATGGGAATCCGCCCAGGATCAAGCCTTTTGCCCCCAACGCAAGCCCAAGAGGGCTCAAGACGGCCGAAGAGGGTCAAGACAGCCAAAGAGGGCTCAAGACGGCCTAAGAGGGTTCAAGACATCGCCAAGTTGGCCAAAGGCGCCCCACCCCAATAGGATTCAAGCATCGAAGACTGTCCGGGACGCCCCAAGAGTTCAACAACGCAACTTCCAGACTAAGAAGGGGAGATGTCCAAAACTCCTTAGGGTTCCAAGCTTTTCGACTCAAGCTGGTTCCAAGAGGGCCTCGGAGAGTGAAAAGAACGCCCAGGTAGCCCCAAGATGGCACAGGAAGACCCCAATATGACCCAAGACGACATTCCAGCCCCATCACAATCCGAGACGGCTCCAGGATGTTGATTCTTTAACGCCAGGAGACCATCGAGGCGACAACGCTCCCCCGAGCGTGCTCAAGATGCCCCTATGACGACCAACCCACCCTTCAAAGGTCTCCCATACTGCCCCAAAGGGTCTCAAGAGAAACTCGAGATGCCCTTCGGAGGCCTCCGGAAGGGCCAGTATTTCGGCCCCAAGTGACGGCAACGACTCGCCGGAAGGAAGGCCGCGCTGCCCTGGCACTGGCATCAACTCACCCGCGACTCGAATGAAGGATTGATTGGTTGAAATCCCACCAGCTGGGCGTCGGTGGTTTAGAGCGTTTCCTCTTCCACCCCTCCTTCTTCCCCTTCGAGGAGGGGTTTACCCCTCCCCCTACCCCCTCCCCTGGACCTGGAGGGGAGGGGGTCGCGAGGTGTCAGGGCGTCCAAAACGGCCTCGGCGAGGAAGCCAAAATCATTGGTTTTACTAGGGCTGTGGCCCCATTTTGGCCTCTTGGGGGGGACGCTCATTGTGACCCTCACTCTTGTTTGATCGATCTCCTCCAAGATGGCCCCAAGAAGCGCCCAGGAGGCCCCAAGGGGTCTCAAGATGGCCCCGAGATTGCCCCAAGAGGCCCCCAGGAGGTCCCCAGGAGGCCCCCAAAAGGATCCTAAGCGGCCCCAAGAGGCTCCCCCGAGGCACCCAAGAATCCGAAGAGCCCGCCCAGGAGGCCCCAAGAGGTCCAAAGATGGCCCCGAGATGGCCCCAAGAGGCCCCCAGGAGGTCCCCCGGAGGCACCCAAGAAGACCCCAAGCGGCCCCAAGGGCCCCCCCAGAGGCACCCAAGACCCCGAAGAGCCCCCCAGGATCGCGAAGGGACCCCCAAGACGTCCCAAGAGGCCGCCAAGAATCGCCCAAGAGACACCCCAAGAGGCTCCGAGAGGCATCCAAGAGACCTCTGGCCCTTGTGCTTGCCCTCCTCCTCCTCCTCCTGTTCCTCCTTCCTCCTCCTGTTCCTCCTTCCTCCTCCTGCTCCTTCTCTTCCTCCTCCTCCTCCTCCGCCTCCTCCTCATCAAGTTCATCCTCCTTCTTCCCACTTCCTCATCCATCCATCCATCCACCTTCTCCTTCTCCTCCTCACTCCTTTGCACGGTTCGGCCGTCCCCCTGTTTGCTGCCGCACTTCCCTGATCACCTCAACTCGCCTGCACTTCGTTTATGGATGGGCTGGTGGGGAGACGCGAAGCGTCTAGAATTTGCACGCCCTTTGCCCAAGCCGCCACTCCCTCTCAAGAGTCCTCCCCTTCAAATGTGATCAAGGAGTGGCACGCTAATTGAGCGGCCTGGAAGAGATGGGGAAACAGGCGCCCAATCTGATTACGCTGTGAAGTGTAAGCGCCCAACATCCCACAAGCGGCATGCTAGCGTGCACGCCGTTGCGTCTTTCTGCCCGGGCATGCACCTACATTCGACTCAGCTGCATCAATACGAATCGGTGTCGAATTTGCACACGTGGCCCCGTCAAACCAAGCCTGCTCGGTATGCACATGTCGCGCTTGTGCCAGGGCACGCGCAACTCGATCGCATGCTCAAGTGATCACCACCAACCAGTTGAATATGTCCTTCGGGTGACATTTCCAGCGCGAAAGTCATCATCGCTGAACCTCGGACTGTGTGTTGGGCCGCATTGTACGCGTACCCAAGGCTGACGTACGCCCCACGCCACCACACCGACGGAGGCCGCGCGGCTTTGCGGCTTACAGCACACCCCGGACCTCTACATGCTGTCCCCATCTATGGACAGACCAACAATCTGCTGTCCGCCCGCTTGTGCGGACGGCCCCTGGACCAACCATCCACAGAGAAACTCCGAGGTGCCCTTTTTAGGGACCACACGAATCACCCCAGGCCCTTGGGCATCCTTGGGCATCCTCAAGCAGTTTGCCAAACCTCCTAGACACTTTTTGTTGCTGCGCTAGGCACAAGATCTAGAGAAAGGAAGTCGGAGAGGGTCACGCCGCGAGGCGTTCGAGAATGACCCAACCCCTTCAACGAAATGCTAAGCCAGAGCCTTGGCGAAGTTGCCGTGCGCAGCGATGACTTTCTCCTGGTTGCCACTGCTTTCAGACTCCCCCGTTCGCAATACTCTGCTTCCTCCGCGGCAGACCTCTGCCCTCACTCGCGTCCTGCGCGTAGGCCTAGGCGCTGCATTTCTAACAGTACGTGATGGCACAGAACAGCCGCGCGGGACCTTCAAGCCCAAGACTGCGACGGGCACATGTGCGACTTGTCCCTCCGCAATCCAAGCATGCTATGATTTCGGGTGATCGCGGCCCTACACAAATTGCTGGCGTGATCTAAGACCATATCCACGCGCGCGCTTCACAAGACAGGATAACGCAACGTGACGACTCAATGGGTGTATGCCAAGATGCTTCTCGGGGTATCTTCGAGGCATGCCTCCCAAAACAACGCTTCCACTCGGGGCCTCTGACTTGCTTGGGAGAGAATTGGTTATCATTGTTGCGATGTCATGTTGGCCGCCCATGGGAACCAGGGTTCGGCTGGTTTGGTTCCTCTGGTTGTCTGGTGGCTGCCCATGGGGTCCCATATCGGATTGTTACGACTTCCTGATGGCGTCCCAGATCAAACTGGATCTGGTTGTTGCAAGTCCGCCCTTGGGGCCCTGGACCTGCTGGCCCTGGTTGTTGCGATTTCATGGTGGCCGCCCTCGGGGTCACAGGTCCCGATGGCTTTAGCTTAGGACTGCCATCAGACACGTTGCACAAACGTAGGCCAGAGGCACCGGTGAGGGCGGGTCAAGGGCCGAAGACCCTGGTAGGATGGCTGCCAGTGCGGCCACACATGCACACACACGCTCACTCACTCATTCACACACACATACGCACACACGCACACGCTCACACCCACCCACACCCCAGCAACCATCAAGAGGAGCCCAACCCTATGTCCTGGAGCCATATTTGACAAGTATTGGAACGCCGTCGCAGGACTTCGGCTTTTCACGCCCTCTTTGAGGTCATCCCAAGAAGAAGCTTCTTGGGGCTGCAAGCCTCTTGGGACCTCTTGAAGCTGTCCTGGGGGCGACACTCGTGTCAGCATTGGATGGCCGGGCCACGCACGGCGAAAATAATCGCACTGTCGATCTGCACAAGGAGGAGAGGATGAGAAAAGAACGACACCTCTCTGCAGATAGGCATCTGATGGGTCCACTGGACACGTTACCAGCACGAGCGCACACTCAAGAACAACAGTGTATGCGGACATCGCTTCTAGAGGGTGCCATGGCTCGATTGCTGACATGAGGGGAAGAAGCCACAAGAGCAGCAGCACCAGGAACGAACGGAGAGAGACAGCAGCAGGGTGCCGCAGAATACAGCGCGGATCACTGAGGGAAAGCGTCGGGGGGGACCGGCTCAGGGGAGAAAACATCGAGCTGGCTGGAGACGGCGTTGGGCGTGGCTTAGTGGGGGGGTCATAAATGGGGGGGTCAGAAACGGTCCCCTTTCGTGCCCCTTTCGGGCCCCTCCATGAGCCCCAGGGGGCTCGTTTAGGTACCGTTTGGGTACCTTTTCGGACCACGCTCGCCACCCCCCCATTTATGACTCCCCCATTACGCAACGCCCAACGGCGGTACATCGCCCCACCGCCGGCGCGGCCGCCGGCTCCTCGCTGAGCCCGGCGAGCTGCTCGAGCATGTCGATGTTCTGCGTGTAGCAGCGGCGTAGGCGGCCCTGCCTGCCGAGGGGGCGCCCGCCGAGGCGCGTCCGACTCCGCGGCGGCGTGGTCCGACGCGCTCCTCCAGGCCCGCTTCCGCCCTTCCCGTCCGCCCGCTTCCGCCCGCTTGCTCCTCCTCCTCCTCCTCCTCCTCCTCCTCCTCCTCCCTTTCCTCCTCCTCGCCCGCCCGCTGTCCTGCCCCGCCCGCCGCTCCCGCGAGGGCCGGATCCGCAGCGGCAGGTGACCTGGCCATCGCTCGGACGTCCATTTCCCGTGCATTGTTCGGTCTCGTGCGTGCTTTTTTTTTTTGTTCTCGATGGCCCAGGATGGTCCTCGACGGTTCTCGCCGAGAAAAGATGCACACGTCCGAGCGGTGCCAAGCTGACCGCAGGCCCACGAAGGGCGGCGGAAACCCGACGGGGCCAGCGCTCAGGAAGGAGGCCCAGGCAGACTGGCAGTGCCTCGGTAGAATTGCCGAGGCCACGTCGTGAGCACACCGAGAGCTTGCCCAACGGTGCAGGAGAGGAGGAGGAGGAGGAGGAGGAGGAGGAGGAGGAGGAGGAGGAGGAGGAGGAGGAGGAGGAGGAGGAGGAGGAGGAGGAGGAGGAGGAGGAGGAGGAGGAGGAGGAGGAGGAGGAGCCCCTTCTTGGCCCTGTAAGCGCCTCCGTGCCCCAGGAGGGCAAGAGGAACAGCACTGGAGGAACCCAAGGAACATCGAGCCCTTCCGAGCCCAAACTGTTCCTTATGTCAGCGTCTTGACTGTATGGGCGAGTGCATCAGAGAACTGAGCTGACGGCCCAATTAATGCCACCTCGAACGAGGGCTGCCCAAAAAGCAACACAGCTGGCCATACAAGCTCTGGGGACATCGGTTAAAGCGTGCCACCCGAGGAGCGGCGGGGTCCATTCGTCAGCCTTGCCTCTCTCCCCTGGCCCCATGGATGAAGGGGGCAAGGCGCAGGACAGGGAGGATGGGGGAGCAGGAGGAATAGGCAGGATGCGCGCAGCAGAAGAAACGAAGGATGAGTACAGCACAGCTGATTCCTGTCTCGTCGACGTGGGCATTGACATCAGAGTCTGGGCAGAGCGCGTTGACCTGGTCCAAGCCGCCTGCGGCCTTCAGTCTTGAACGCCGGCGCCAACGCCGCCAACGCCGCCGTCGCGCCGCGAAGATGCCGCGAGCGGGGCGCGCGGCGAGCGAGGCCCCGCGCCCCCCTCGGGCTCCCGAACATTCCTGGTGCGCGTTTTTTTGTGTTACATATATATATATAGTATTATTAGTATTATTAGTGTTATTAGTTTTATTATTATTATCATCATCATCATCATCATCATCATCATCATCATCATCATCATCATCATCATCATTATTATTATTATTATTAGTATTATTATTAGTATTATTAGTATTATTATTATTTTACAAAAACAAATCTCCTGGTCCCGCGCCGCCCACACGAGGACACGCGCGCCACTCCTCTGCCTCTTGGTGCCCCCCCCTCCTGCGGATCTCCGCCCCGGAGGGTCGGCGGAGGAAGGGCCGCGAGGCCCCAGCCCCTGGCGTGCGCCTGGCCGCGCTGCCCTGCTGCGCGAAGAGGGTGCGGTGACGGCCTCCTCCTCCTCGTCCTCCTCCTCCTCCTCCTCCTCCGCCTCCTCCCCCTCCTCCTCCTCCTCCTCCTCCTCCTCCTCCCCTCCCTCCCCTCCCCTCCTCCCTCCTCCTCCTCCTCCTCCTCCTCCTCCTCCTCCCCCTCCTCCTCCTCCTCGTCCTCCTCCTCCTCGTCCTCCTCCTCCTCCTCGTCCTCCTCCTCGTCCTCCTCCTCCTCGTCCTCCTCCTCCTCCTCGTCCTCGGCCTCCTCCTCCTCCTCCTCGGCCTCGTCCTCGTGGCCGCTGTCGTCGGCGTCGGCGTCGCTCTCGTCGTCGCCGTCGGCGGCGACGGCGGCGTCAGAGCCGCCGTTGCCGTCGCAGCCGTCGTCGTCGTCGTCGTCGTCGTCGTGCTCGCAGCGTCACAGCGAAGCGAGGCCGTCGACCACGCCTCTCCAGCAGCCTCAAGAAGTGGTGCGAGAGGGTCGGGGCCTCGGCGCCCTCCGCCGCCGGGCGGGCTCCGGCACTCCACGCAGAGAGGGGCAACGGGCTGCGGCACCGCCCGCGCGGACACGGGCGCACGAGGTGAGGATGAGGAGGCGCAGGGCAAGAGAGGAGGGAGGAGGAGGAGGAGGAGGAGGAGGAGGAGGAGGAGGAGGAGGAGGAGGAGGAGGAGGAGGAGGAGGAGGAGGAGGAGGAGGAGGAGAAGGCGAGGGCGCGAGAGGACGATGTGTTAAAGGAGGAAGCGAGGAGGGGGAGGAGAAGACCGACCACGGGAGAGTGGAAAGAGAGATGAGGTGAGTTCGAGGGGAAGGCGGAACAGGAACCGAAGGGGAATGTCGGACTAGCAACAATCACAGGTATATCCATGCTGCTTGCTGACCTGGAGATGGCGTCGGGGTAATCAACGCACAGGTGCTTGCCCCTATCACGACCAGGTGTAAGCACTGAACTGGCTCTCGAATGTGCCCCGTCGATTCTGACGTCTGGGCCCGCCAAATCCACGCCACTACAGCACGTGACCAACAGTGCGCCCTCTCGGCCAATCGCGCAACCGATCACGCGACGCAGGCCCCCCTGGCCCATCTGCTTAAGACATGTCCATTGCCCTGGCAGCAAACAGAGCAGGACGGCACTGCAGTCCTGATGCCGAACGTGGCCCTGGGACGAATCAAGCGCAGACAGGATAGTCGACGAGGGCGGGACCGCAGGATCGAGAAGCTGGGGCTGCGGCATACTTCTCCCCCGTCGGCCACAGCTCCTAGACGAAGAAACATCGGCGTAAACATAACCTGATGGAGGTCCGCGCGGACTTCTTGGATGTGCAATGAACACGCCTCCCCGGCGCGCCTCCTGCGGAGCCGAAGGCGCCGCCCAGGGGGTCTGGCGCCGATCCCAGAGATCCGCGCGGAGGCCCCTCCGAACATGCCTGTCTGCGCCGATGTTTCTTCATCGAATCTCCCTCGCGAGGTCGTAGAATGCGTCTGGCGACTCGCGGAAAAAGTCGAGGTCGAAGACGGCCTCCGGCCTGCCGCGCGGGCCCGCGAGGAGGAGCGGCGGCGTCTGCCGAGGGCGCCGGCGGAACGGCCGCCTCCGTCGGCCATGAATCGTCGTGGCTCTCCTCCCGCGGCTGCTCCTCCGCCCTCCGCCCTCCGCCCTTGCCACCTCCTCCGCTCCCTCGTCCGACTCCTCGTCCAATCATGAACGAGTGCCTGGACTTGTCGAACGATGTCCTCAATACTTGGCGAGGTCTAGCTCTGTCTCGTGAATGATGTCTGCTCGGATCCTTAGTTCTCCTGGAGTAGAGCTCCGAGGTGCGACCGGCACATGTTCTTGAAACCACACTTATTGACGTAAGCTCCGAATCGCTTGCAGCAGCGAAACAATCCTGCTCACTCTTACGAACAACTTTCGAGCCCTGGAATTGGGACTCCTCACTATCCGAGCTGATGCCAATAACCCCCCACTGATGAGTCGACTTCTCGCAGCTGCGGCTGGCAGCGGACGCTCCACCTACCACGTAAGTAGAGTTTGACTCTGGAATGTGGATCCTTTTTCCCTGCGCAGTGCCTGAAACGTTCATCTATCACGTCAACGGATGCACGCAAAGCTAAAATGTGTGATGCTGAAAAAAGACAGCGAACCAATGTACACAACACGAATGGACATGCAACGAACACTGAAAAGTGTGAGAACATGAAACATTGTTACATACATAACTCAGATAGACGAAATCCCTTCCACGAAAGCACAAAGGAATATTTAGCGATAACTTATTGTTGCCTTTTCCAGCGTCGTCATCGTAATGATGTGGGTCGCCATCCTCCCTTCATGTTTCCTCTTCCTCTTCCTCACTATCGCCCCAGACTGCGAATTCGTCCCCTCCTCAGCTCTTTTTGCGGAATCTCATCCTAGGAGGGCCTCTTGGCGGCCTCACGAGAAAGTGTTTAAGGGCTTGTTGGGGCCTTCTGGAGGCCTCATGGGTTCCTTGTGGGGGCTTGTGGGGGGTTCCCAGGGCCACCCTGCTTCCACATGCGGTCTCCCTGATCGACTGGGTTACGATTTGGAATGATTGGGGGACGTCGTGAAGCCACCTCGGGCCGCCATGGGGCTCTCTTCGGGCCATCTTGGGGTCCTGTTGGGCTGTATTGGGACTCCTTTTAAACTGCCTGGAAGCCCTCTTGGTTAATTTTGGGACGATTATCTGGCCTCCAGGGCGGCCTTGGACTCCAGGAAGACCGAAGAATAAATAATCCCCCAAATCATACAGTATCAATCGGAAATCAATCTGTTCTGCATTCCGAATGCCTCTTGGGGGTCTTCTTTTGGTCGTCTTCGGGCGTCTGATGAGTGTCTGGAGCCTTTGTGGGCTTGCACGAGGCCGTTCGGCCGCCCTCATGATTGAAATTGGCCCGCTGCCTAGGCCCAGCACGGGCTTCAGGATCCCGGGAAAGCACGAGGGACACCTCTGGTCACAGAACAGCCAAGCACAATAGGTACACTCTTGTTCCTTTCTGCTTTTCTCTTCCCAGGCCAGGTTTCGGCCAGTGCTTAGGAGAACAACGAATCACGATCCATTCTCTTCCCAGGCCAATTTTCCGCCAGTGCGTAGAGGAACAACCAATCACGGGTAGTCTTGTACAGTACCATGCTAGGTGGCCCAACACGAGCTGGCGAGCTTGGGACTGAGAGGAGAACGGGTGCGTGCCGTACACATGATGGCTCAAGGCCAAGAGTGCTGAAGAGAAGTCGCCAGTCAGTCATCCTTCCATCTTCTTTCACATCGTACGTGGATCTTGCACACTCTGCTGAGCGAGCCAAGAGGCTCTATTCAATTATTCATTGATATATATATATATATATATATGCCTACATGTGTTACATTATACATGCATACACATATTTTCATACATACATGCAGACAGACAGACAGACAGACCGACAGACAGACAGAAAGACAGACAGACAGACAGACATACACACACACACACATCAGAGGAAGGGGGCCGAACGGTCATTCACTGTCCCTGGGGGCGTGACTGGAGTGAGTTTCTGCGGTGCGGATTGTTGTTTTTTGTTGCTGTCGGTGGTGGTTGTTGTTGAATTCACAATTCTTGAGAATCGCTGTTGTTGATCCCCCTTCTGGTAACCATGCTATGTTTCATGTCGAAGTGCCCCTCCCGGGGCTCGCACGCTGCCTTTTTCTTCAGGCAAGCCTTGAACCTCAAACTGCGCGGCGGGCCCCCGAGTTATCGGGGATGGACAGACCTCCCTTTAGTAAAACGTGGTCTAGTGAAAACGACCTCGGGCCCAAACCTGGCCGGCGCAAGCCTGGAAAATAACGGCCGCGGCGCCCTCTCGAGAACCGAAAACGGACAATTCACTAATCGACGTGTCAGGATAGGAGGTCTGTCCACCCCCGAAGTTACAACAACATCGGTTCCCGCCTGATACTTCCTTCACAGTGTATTGCGACAGCGCGCTCTCGCGCGGGATCTCTTCAAATGTATGGCAAGAGTCGCGCTCTCGCGTTGGACCTCCTCGCAATCTCGTGGGACGCCGCGCTCCGGACACTCAGGAATCTGCTCTCGCTGTGCATTTCCTCACGATCGCGCTGTCGCGTGATCGCGCTATCGCTCGAAGCTTTCTCGCGAGTCATGCAATACGCACGCTTCCGCAACCCGGCTGCTAGACCTGGCCGCCTGGGCCGACCTGCCCGCTCCGCCCGTTGGGGTCTATCCGCCCGATCTGCCCTACTGGTTCTGCTACGTGTTTTCTGCTCCTAGCCCCCCCTGCTTCCCTCTCTCTCTCTCTCGTGCTCCATCCTCCCCCCTCCCTCTTCTCTCTTCCTTCCTTCCGTCCTCTTTCCCCCCGCCTCAGGGGCTGCACGAAATAAACGTTGCACGCAGGAAAGAAATACACTCCAAAAGGGCACGATCGAAGACGAAAAGGACGGGTATCGAGGGTTTGGGATATACGTGTTGAATGGCACGCGAGCAGATAAGATCAAACACTATTAAACTAATTGTTGTTGCTGTTGAACTTTCAAATATAAAGAATAACTATTGTTGACCCCGCCCCCCCGTAACCATCATATTTGTCAAATTAAAGTGTTCCGCCCGGGACTCACGCCCTATTTTCTTTACAACGGAACGTCTTGAGGGTCAAACTGGGCCTCTGGCCACCGAGTTACAACAACAACAGCTCGTGCCTGATACTTCCTCGCAACGCATTAACAATGAAGCTTTCGCCTGGGTCATCATCCTTGCAGTGTACGCAGGGATCGCGCTCTAACTTGAGACTTTCTCACAATGTATACAGATGCCGCTCCTCGACATGGGCGTCGGGCCCCCGAACTACAACAACGGCTCCCGCCTGATACTTCTCACAGTGTATCACATTAAGCGCTCGTCTGAGCCATCCTTACACTATACTCAGGAATCGCGCTCTCGCTGGAGGTTCCTTCGCCGTGTGTTCAGGTGCAGCCCCATCGACACTCCTGAGTCGCGCTCTCGTCTTGGACGTCCTCCAGTTGTCCTTGGAAGTGGCGGTCTCGCTGAAGATCCCTCTGCGACTCAAACAAGGTTCACGCTTCCGCGACTCGCCCGCTCGACCCGCCCGTCGGGGCCCGCCCGCCCGACCCGCCCGTTAAGGGACTGCAGTCGCCCGTGGCTGCCCTTCGCCCGCGTTCGATGCCGCTCGCTGCCCGCTGTGGCTCTCCGTGGCCTCCTCTCGCCCGCGCCCCGCCGTGGCCCCCAGACGCATGCCCTTCGGGGCCCCGCCGCCGCCCTTCGTGGCCCCCCTCGCTGCCCTTCTTGGCCTCCACTGCTGCCCTCAAATGGCCCCGCTATCGCCCTTTCTGGCCCCAACTATGCACATCAGTCGCGGCCCCCGCTCGCTCGCGCCCTTCGTGGCCCCCTTGCTGCCCTTCGTGGCCCCGCTCTCGCCTTTTGTGGCCCCCCTCCCTGCCCTTCTTGGTCCCGTTGCTGCCCTCAGTGGTCCCTTGGATGCCCTCAGTGGCCGCGCATTATTTGCCCTTCGTGACCCCCGTTCGCTCGCGCCCTCCGTGGCGCAATACACATGCCCTTCGTGGCCCCGCTTTCGGCCTCTGTGCCCCCCTCGATGCCTTTCCATGGCCCCATTACTGCATTTCGTGGCTCCGCTGTCGCTTTTCGTGGCCTCATTGCTGCCATTCGTGGCCCCGCTCTCGCCCTCCCTTTGTGGCCCCCTCGCTGCCCTTCTTGGTCCCGTTGCTGCCCTCAGTGGTCCCTTGGGTGCCCTCAGTGGCCGCGCATTATATGCCCTTGGTGTCCCCAGCTCGCTCGCGCCCGCCGTGGCCCCATCTGCATGCACTTTCTACGTATGCCCTCCGCGGCCCCATATGCATGCCCTTCGTGGCCCCGCTGTCGCCCTTGGTGGCCCCATATACGTATGCCATTCTTTGCGCCCGCTCGCTCGAGCCCTTGGTGGCCCCATTGCTGCCATTCGTGGCCCCGCTGTCGCCCTTTGCGCCCCCCTCGCTGCCTTGCCTGGCCCCGTTGCCATCCTCAGTGGCCCCGTCGCTGCCCTGTGTGACCCCACATTGTATGTCCTTCGTGGCCTCCCGCTCGTTCGCGCCCTTCGTGGCCCCATCGGCATGCCCTTCGTGGCCCCGCTTTCGCCCTTCGTGGTCCCCTTGCTGCCTTTCGTGGTCCCTATCACTGTCCTCAGTGGCCCCGCTGTCGCCATGTCTGGCCCCATAGATGTATACCCGTCGTGCCCCCGCTCGCTCGCGCCCGCCTCCTTCGCTCTGCTCCTAGCCCCTCGCCCCCCTCCTGCAACTCTCTCTCGTGCTCCATTCTCCTCCCTCCCCCTTGTCCCTTCCTTCCATCCGTCCTCTCTTCCCCTGCCTCAGGGGCTACATAAGGTACACGTTGCAGGTAAGAGAAATCGACTTCCAAGGGGGCACGATCGAAGACGAAGAAGGCGAATATCGAGGGCTTGAGATATACGTGTTGAATGGTACGCGCACAGATAAGAACGAACCGTCATAAATTGTTGTTGGTGTTGTGAATGTTGCTGTTGTTGTTAATGTGAATGTTATTGTTTTTTGTTGTACGAGACTCCGTTCGCATGCTTTTGTCCTGCGAGATCCAAGGCTATTGGCTCTTCAAGGTAGAAAAAGATGAGGACAACGGCATGCCGGCAACATGCTACAGGAATTTCCACCAGAAGCGATGGGTTGGAAAGATACCCATGACCTTGACGTCATTGTACTGCGATGCATGTCAACCAACTGCACCCTGTTGTCCCAAATCGCCTGGATGTGAGATCACTCCGGCAGCACCCAACTTTTTACTCGGCAGACAGGGCAGCTGCCACCTTCTCTGCAGACTTCTTAGGCGTCGTGCCAGCACCTTTTAATCGCTGTACAGAGCCGTACCTGTCGACGAGCCAATACGATGCGAAATTCCATTTGATGTCACTGCTGTCTGCGGTGGCAGCCTTCAAGAATTGGTAAACTGGATGAGTACCACGGCCGTTAACATCAACCTTGTTCATCATCATGAAGCTGTCATTGTCGGGAACGCCTAGCTTGGTAGCGAACGCTTTGATATCAGCATTGCTACCGGGCTCTTGTCCTCCAAACTGGTTGCATGGAAATGCCATAATCACTAGACCCTCAGAGCCAGCATCCTTGCTCATCTGAATCAGCTCTTTGTAATGGGTCTGCGTAAAGCCTCATCTGCTAGCGACGTTGCCGATTAGTACCACCTTCCCACGAAAACGATCAAACGCAACTTCGTCACCATCGATGTTTTTTGCAGACAGGTTGTAGAACGCTGATGATTCTGTGGAGGACGCTCGTGACATACTCATTGCTGCTGCACCGCAGATAACTGGGCCTCGAACAGACCGAGAAATTATGCCGATGCGACGGATCGCCTTCTCCATTGCGCCGACCTGCGCGGGACTGTCGAAACAAATCGAAGGTGAAGGTGGCCTGCGCAGCTCCTCGAACCAAGAACGGTCCTGAGCCACGGTGGCTTGAGCCAAAATGGCTACGGAAATGTGAATGTTATTGTTGTCGTCGTCCCCCCCGCGACCCGTCGCGACCCACCCGTCACCCACACCGCGACCCACCCGTGACTCACCCGCGATCCACCCGCGACCCGCCCGCGACCCACCCGCGACCCACACGGGACCCCCCCGCGACCCACTTGCGACCAAGCCCGCGACCCACCTGCGACCCACCCGCGACCCACCCACGACCCAATCCGCGACCCACCCACATTACTTGAACGAACAAATCTGCGCCTGCGGCGGTCTCTCTGCATAATTTATAGCAGTTAGGCGCCGGCGGCGGGCTTCTTCAGAGCCTCGCAGACTGCCGACGTCCTCGCCGCCCCCTCACTCTTATCCGCAACTGCGGGGTGCTACGTGTATCCGCCGGCCCCCTTGTGGGGCCACCAGACTGCGAGGCTGAGGGTTGCTGCTCCCTGCGCGAGTTCCAGCTTCCAGTTTCCAATGTTGCAGTCCTGCGTTGAGCCTTTCTGCTTCCTGCTCAAAAATGCTACTGTCCGAAACGAGGGAAGGGGGCCGAAAACCAGCCAAATTACCACGCCCTGGGCGCGTTGTCTGAATGTTTCTGGGGGAGCGTAGGACAGGTAAAAATACATAAGACTCGCGCCTCCGAAGCCATAATCCTTTTGTAATCTATGCAAGGTTTGCACTCCCGAAGCCACAGACCCTCGCAAATTACACGATAGCTGCGCCCCCGCGGCAACGAACCTTCGTAACTCACGCCGTGCTCGCGTCCCCGGAGCCATAATCAACAAAAAAAAAAAACCAATCGCGTCCCCGAAGCCATAAAGCCACGCAAACTACGCAACGATTGCGTCCCCGAGGCAACAAACCCTTGCAAATTACAGCATTCGCGCCCCCGAGGCCACACCATCTCGCAAATTACGCCATCTTTGCATGGCCGAGGCCAAGAGTGCTCCAAGGCGCCCGAAGATGGTTCCAAGACGGCCCAAGAGGGGCCCAAGAGACCTCAAGAGGCCCCACGAGAGCTCCATGAGGCTTCCCGAGAAAGCCCCAAGAGGTCAAAACGGTTGGATTGTGGTCTTCTCTCGCTTAGGCCTTTTGACGCTCCAAGACGTCTCAAGAAGCTCCCAAGACCGTCCCAAGACAGCCCAAGACTCGTCCAAGAGGGTCCCTAGACTGCCCAAGAGGGTTGCAAGATTGCCCAAGAAGCGCTCCGAGAAGCTCCGACAAGCCCCCAAGAGGCCGCCAAGAGGCCCCAAGAAGCGCTCCGAGAAGCGCCCGAGGCCCCAAGAGGCCGCCAAGAGGCCCCTAGATGCCCCTAGAAGCGCCAGAGACGCGCCCAAGAGGCTTCCAAGAGGCACAAAAGATACCCACCACGCCCCAAGAGGCCCCAAAGAGGTGCCCAAATAGACTCCAAGAGGCCCCCGAGAGGCTCCACACGACAGACCAACACATATGCAAGGGGCCTCGGATCCAAAACCCAAGCACGGTGGAGGGATGCGCCGAAGGCCACTCGGAGAACGCAGTCGCTCAATATGCGCTGATGATTCCTATCCGCCCCCGCATGATGTTCCCAGATGCGCCAAGGCAGCGCCGAGACGCACCGACGCAACTCTGATGTATCACATTATGATAGAGAGGGGGCCGGCGGCAAGGGGGCTAAGCCATTACAGATATCTAGATGTACAAATATAACCCCATGCTCCCGAGAATAAGCCCCCAAGGATAATAAAGTTCGGCGGTTACGGGGTGATAATAAAAGCTGCCCACCAGAGGCCAGCATAAAGATGTTAACAGAGGAGCCAAAGCCGAGGATATCTTGAGACATCCTTGGCTTTTTGTCCTCTCTGAGACATCCTCAACAATGGCTTGTCTCGCTTGAGAAACCCTCGACAAGATTTAGACACATATAAGCAGAGAGAAAGAGAAGAAACGAGCAGGAGAAGGAGAGGAGGAGGAGGAAACAACAATACACAAATCAAACACATATTCGATTTTATTTGTAAGCGCTTAACGGAAATTAAGATGGTCATCTGCTCGTGTAGGGTAGCTCATCTGCCTCGCTTTCCCAGGATAGTCAACCACAACGAGAAAAAAGTTCAGGGGGGCACGGAAAGAAGGAGAAAGGTTGAGAGTGAGAAAGAAAGAGAAAAAGAAAGAGAGACAGAGGACAGATAGAGAGACAGAGAGAAAGAGAGACACAGGTTGAAAAAGAAAGATAAACATAGAGAGAGAGAGAGAGACGGAGAGAGAGAGAGAGAGAGAGAGGAAAGGAAGATGAGAAGGAGGAAGAAAAAAATCAAAGTTCAAAACTTATTAGATTTTATTTGTAAGCGCTTAAAGGGAATAGAGATTTTCATATACTCGTGTAGGGTGGCTCATCTGCCTCGCTTTCCCAGGATAATCAACCACAGCGATAAACAATTTCAGGGCGCAAGGGGGAGGAGGAGGAGGATGAGGAGGAGAGGAGAAGGAGACATCCTTAAGAAACGTACTGTTTCGCTCGAGACGTCCTTCAGTGTATGCTTGTTTCGCTTGAGACATCCTCGAGTATATGCTTGTTCCGCTTGAGACATCCTCGACAAGTTTCTCGCTTCGCTTGAGACATCCTCGAAGAATTGCTGGTTCCGCTTGAGACATCCTTGAAACATTGATCGTCTCGTTTGAGACTGCCTCCCAAAATTGTTGGTTTCGCTTGAGACATCCTGACAAAGCGTGTTCACTTCGCTGGATGTTGCTATCTCAACATAAGAAGGAAGTAACCTCGATGGCGAACTTTTCACGGTGATAATGAAGTTCGGCCTCCGCGCCCCGCGCCCCCGACCAAACTCCTCTTGGCCGTGGATAATCAATTATTATGTGTATACGGGGGGTACATTATTATCGTGGGTATGGGGTTACACATATGAATCTACACATACGTACATACATACAGGCATCAGTATAAACACACAGATAGATGAGAGAGGGAGAGAGAGAGAGAGAGAGAGAGAGAAAGAAAAGGTGAAGGAAAAAGAGAGAGAGAGAGAGAGAGAGAGAGCGAGAGAGAGAAAACAAAAAAACGCTCGTCGCACACTCCCAAAGGGGGGGGCCTTAGCTTCCCCTCCCCTCCCCCCCTGCCTGGACCTCTCCTGCCCGAATCCCCCCCTCCGCCGCTACCCCCCCCCGCCGCGCTCCGGAAGCTACCCCCCTCTCCCCCCCTTCCCCCCAAAAGGGGCAGGGGGCTTAGCTACCCCCCCCCCGCACCTTTTTGAATCCCCCCTGCTGGAAGCCGCCCCCTCCCCAACTTTTTGGCTAAAGGGGGGGAGGGAAGCCCCCCTGCCCCCCCTTTGGCTGAAGGAAGGGGGGCCGAAGACCAAAAGGGCGCCGAAAACCAACAGAGCGCGGCCACCGAAAATCGAAAGAAATTCGAATACCTAAGGAGCGCCGAAAACCAAAAGAGCGCCGAAAAGCAAAGGGGCGCGAATAACAAAAAAGGCGCCGAAAACCAAAAGAACGCTGAAACCAAAGAGGCGCCAAGAACAACAAAATGCTCAGAAAACCAGCGGGGCGCCAAAAACCAAAGATGCAGCGACAACTAAAAGGAACGCCGAAAACCAGAGCAGCGCCGAAAACGAAAAGGGCGCCGAAAACTGAGGAGCGCCGAAGCCCAAAAGGGCTCCGAAAACCGAAGGGTCGCCAAACTTCAAAAAGACGCCGAGAACCAGAAGTGCGCCGACAAATCAGAAGGGTGCCGACAAACGCACCGAAAACCCAAACGGTGCCGAAGACCAAAGGTGCGCCGAAAACCATCCAGAAGGGTACCGAATCCAGAACGGCGCCGGAAAGAAAGGAGCACCGAAAACCAAAAGTGGCGCCGAATACCAAAAAGGGCGCCGAGAACCAAACGAGCGCCGAAAACCGAAAGGGCGCCGAAAAGCAAAGGAGCCGCCGAAAACCAAGGGGGCACATAAAAACAACATGGGACGAAAACCAAATAAGCACCGAACACAAAAAGGGGCGCTGAAAACCAAGAATGCGCCCGAAATCAATCGGGTGCGGAAAACCAAAAGGACACCGAACACCATAGGAGCGCCGAAAACCAAGAAGGCGCCGCCGAACACCCAAGGAGCCCCGAAAACCAAAAGGAGCGCCGAAAACTGAAGGGGCGCCGAAAACCAACAGAGCGCCGAAGACCAATGGGCGCAGAAAACCAAAGGGGCGCCGAAACCACAGAGGAGTCGAAAACCAAAGGGGCGCCGAGAACTAACTATGCTCCGAAAACCAAAAAGGGCGCCGAAAAACCAAAGGGGCACCAATAACCAAAAGGCGTCGAAAACCAAAGGGCTTCAAAAAACCAAAGACGCGTCGAAAGCTGAAGGGACTCGAAAAAGAAAGGGGCACCGAAAACCAAAGAGCGTCGAAAACCAAAAGGGCGCCGAAAACTGAAGGGGCGCCGAAAACCAAAAGAGCGCCGAAAATTACAAAAAGCGCAAACAAACCAGCGGGGCGCTGGAGCCAAGAATGCGCCGAGAACCAACGATGCGCCGAAAACCAAAAAGGGCGCCGAAAAACCAAAGGGGCACCGATAACCAAAAGGCGTCGAAAACCAAAGGGCTTCAAAAAACCAAAGGCGCGCCGAAAGCTGAAGGGACTCGAAAAAGAAAGGGGCACCGAAAACCAAAGAGCGTCGAAAACCAAGAGGGCGCCGAAAACTGAAGGGGCGCCGAAAACCAAAAGGGCTCCGAAAATCACAAAAAGCGCAGAAAACCAGCGGGGCGCTGGAACCAAGAGTGCGCCGAGAACCAACGATGCGCCGAAAACCAAAAAGGGCGCGCAGAAAACCACAGGAGCGCCGAAAACCAAAGTAGTACCGACAACCAAAGGGGCACCGACAACCAACGGGGCGCTAAAGGCCAAATGGGCGCCAAAATCCAAAGAGGCGCCGAGAACCAAAGAGACGCCCAAAACCACAAGTACGCCGAAAACTAACGGGGCGCCGCAAACCAACTAAGAGAAGCAGCTTCGAAGCCCCCC